AAAACATCTATTCTATTTGAATAAATTGATGTCAGAATGAGGTGGCAGAACTCGTGCAGTCAGATACAATGTCTTAGTCCATAAGAGGCATTTCCACTTTGGCTCAGGCCTCACTCATTCTTCTGAGTCTTCCCAGAAAGTTTCTTGAGAAAAAGAAGGATCTCATGATTTCTGCTCTGACCACCTCCCAGGCACAAGGACTGTGTTTCTTCTCTCTCAGGTAGGTAGTGATCCTGTGGAAGTATTTCCTCACAGCCACTAGGGAGTCCTCCTGCCTTAGAGAAGGCTCTAGTACCTCCACCTGCTGTATCTGACAGGCTTGCAGAGCATTCAGTAGCTGATAGAGGCCAGTGTGGAATTCTCCTAGGAGGCTTGTTTCCCACGCAGCAGAGGCGGCCTTCGAGCCGAAGAGGTTCAAGATCTGCTGGGTCAGTTCATGGAGGACAGCGACAGTTTGAGCACTCTGGATCTGCTTACCGTGAAACTCCTCCCAGGGAAATTCAAAGTCATTTCTGTCTTTTAGGCAGGAGAGAGGGGAGATTCTCCTCATTTTCTCCAGGAGCAACAAAGTCCTCCTATACTGCAGGTTATGTGTGTGAGGCAGATCACAGGCTAGACAGCGAATTGTCCAGTAGCTCACCACCATTAGGACCATTAGGAAAGCACAGGGCCTGGTCATTGTGAGTTTTGCAGATGTTACTGGCACTCAGAGGTGTGTGGTCTCTAAGTTCTCTGAAGATCATCCTTTGTGCATGTGTCTTAAATAGGAAAGAAACACGAGCTTCCATTTTCTGAGAGTTCGCCCCTGCACTTTCTCTTTTCACTTTCTTTAATTCATTTTCTACTTGTGTCTGGGTCATGTCACCCAACAATTGTGGTTTCCATTTTTGTTTCCTCTTTCTGTACACCCCTGCACAAGGCTGTTTCAGAACTGTATTCCTAAAAAAAACTGTCAATGAAGTTTTGTGGGTACATGCTACCTACAGATATATGCTAAATGTGTGAAATTGCTAATCTGATGAAAAGAATTAAAAATTTCATCTAAATATTAGGATTCTAAACTTCTAAGTCTAGCTTTACAATTAAAATTTCACGGTGCTATTTATTTGTTTCATTTAATTACATAAATTTTAATTGTTGTATATTGCTAATTAAATGTTTCTAAATACATAGTTACAATACTGATGTTTTAAATGTTAAAAGTTATTTTTGAGTTTCCTACCAACATACCCAGCATCACTCCCTTGAGCAAAGACAGAGGAGTATGTGAGGGAACCTTGCCCCTGGTGAATTTTGAATGTCTATGGTGGGGCACCATAGTGGTGGTGTCTTTCAAGCCATCCAAGGTTTTCTAAATTCTCCAGTGGGTTCAAGGAAGAGAAAAAGCAGAACCCTGGTAATCTACCATGAGTAGAACCTTGATAGTAGCCATCCTGGTGGAAGAAATGGAACAGTGGCCATGGTTGGGTCAGCTTCAATGGGTAGTAGTCTGTGTTTAATTGAAGGAGCTGGTTTCTTGTTGACAAGATTTGCCCCTGCACAGTGTCCCAATGACCCTCAGTTTCCAAAAGACCACTTCTCATTGTCTTCAAGACAGTTACAACCCTCACTTTTTGCAGATTACTAACAATATCAGTAGGATTTCTTTACCAGAGTTCCTTTAATTGGATGAGATGTAGGTCAAGAAGGATTTTGGAAGATCATGTTTCCGTCCGTTTAAAACCAGAAATGGGACAACTGTGGCTAAATAGGCCATGAAGAGACATTTAGCACTTTTTTTTAAATAAAAGAGACATGGAGGAGGGAAAAGGATACTGTGTTCATTTATTCACACTTGAACTGCAATTGTGATCCAAGTAAATATCATTTAAAGAACATGTAAGTGCTTAGAAGATGATGTACCAAATGGCAAAAAACAGTGAACCATGACCATCATTCCCTTCAGGAGTCCTCTGTTTTGTGTGTGTGTGTCTGTGTGTGTGTGTGTGTGTGTGTACATGTGCACACAAGCCTGTACACTTATTGAGACAATTAACACCTCTTGAGATTTAACACTTCCCTTTAAAGCTGTAGAAGTCTACTTTTCATACTGAGCATACATCAGAGAAGTTGTTCTATAACGACCCCCCATCTTGATATGAACTACATATGAGAAGAATTAAGCAATTGGCAAGAATCACTTCACAGGACAAGACTTTATAGATTGAAATATTTGCCACAATATTCATCCCTTGCTTTGAAAACAAAATAGTATCTTAGATTAGTAGATGCTGGATATAAACTCTTTTACTTTTAGGCAATCAGAATTAACTTGCTTCCAGTATACCCAAATCTATATGAGAATAATTTTTACAAGGAGAAATTTGGTGTATGTTGTATGCTTGAAAACAAAGATGATGAGCCTGGTCATACCTATAATCACATTATTCAAGAGGTGGAAGCAAGAGAATCCAAGTTTGGGCCAAAATGGCCTCATAGTGACACAGTCTTAAAAAAAACAAAAAGAGAAGAAAATATGTTATTTTTAATGTGTTCCAAGTTCCCTGAAGCTGATTTTAAGAAAGTATGTTGTGTGCTCTGGTTGGGTCTAGAAGTTGCATTAGCATTGTGGAACACAGTATTTTCCTGCTTCTGTCAGGAGTGACATTGCCTTTGGAAGGCATGTTGTTGGTACATCTATCTTTCAGTTCAATGCTGTATTCATAATAAGTATTTAGTTACTAATTATGACTTGATAATTTGCGCATTTTTATAGTGGAAAGATAGATAAATTAATATTTTATAAACACAAACATTTGTAATTGTGTATTTCACAGGCATGGAAATAGAAGCACAAGGTTTAACCATTAGCATCATATGTACTCAACATGTTTTGTTGTAATCTAGAAATTGGAAGGCAAAGGGGATCATGAGTTCAAAGCTAGCCTAGGCTAAATTGTGAGTTCAAGGCCATCCTGATCGATGTAAGAGCCTGTCTCAAAACAAGAAAAAGTTACCATTGTCACTGTTAAAAACACTATACTAATTAGGCAACAGCTTCCTGTTATCCCTGTTTCAACCTCTGGCAAACCACAATTTGGCTGTCTGAATTTACCTATTCAAGGTGGAGTCATATGGTATTTATTTATTCTGTATGTCTTAATTCACCTAGCATGATGTTTGAAGTCTGTTCTCACTGTACACTTTAATTCTGTGCCCAAATGACTCCATTATGTGTATATACTACATAATATTTATTCATTCAAATATTGATGGTCATGAGCTGTTTCAGGTTGTCAGCTATGGTGAATTATACACTGGTGTAAAAATATCCATTTGAGTCCCCACTTTCAATTCTCTTGGATACATATTTTGGATTAAACTTGCTGGGTCCTTAAAAAAGTTATTTTCTTCAAATGTGCTTGTCTTTAACTTATATTTTAACACTAATTCCTAAAAGAAAATAAATTTAGTCTCCACTGGATATCAACTGTGTATTCAAAGATTGTTCCATCATGATGGCTGAGTCAGTAAAAGATCCATCTGTGCAACACTGATGATCTGAATTCCATCACTGGAACCCATGATAGAAGCAGAGACTAGTGATAGTGGCTGTCTGACCTCCCCATGAATGGCATGGTATGCTTATGCCTGCCTTCACACAAATATACCCATAGTACACAATATTAACAATACAATTTAAATTTAAAAACATAATGATTGAGTCTGGAATGGTAGTTCACACCTTTAATCCCAGCACTCGGGAGGGAAAGACTGGTAGATATCTGTGAGGTCAAGGCCAACTGGTCTACATAGTGGGTTCCAGGCCAGCTGGGAGACCATGTCTCAAAAAGAAAACAATGAAACAAAACACGGTATTAGAAGTTTCATTCCTTGCTTTTCCGGGTCTACTTCACAATGGCAGGAGTGACAGACAGAGGAAGAGCTCAATGCGTGGTTACCTCCAAGAATCAAAAAGAGTGAGAAGGTAAGGTACCACCAATAGGACACAGCCCTACTGACCTTGGCCCAACAGGTCTCACAGCCAAACAATTCATTCAGGTATGAATTATAAATGGACTAATTCACCGAAACAGCCCTCAGGATGCAATCCACCTCCAAGTCCTGATGACTATTTTTCCAATGAATACTAAGCCTCCAACACATGAATCTGTGAACAATATTTCCTATCCAAACCACAATGGGTAATCATCACTACCGAACTGTACACTTGAAATGGTTGGGATGATCATAAACTTTATGCCCAGTTTCTTATATATTTTTCATATTAAATTTTCAATTAACATACAACATTTATACTAATTCATAGCTTATTGCTTCATGATTCGGTGAATGTAGGGAATTTCTAAATAAAATTGTAATTATACATACTATCTCATTAACTATTTCTCTGTGTTTGCAACATTTAAACTTTTGTCAAAAAGAAATAAATTTTATTTTCTACCCTACAATTTATTGTTGTACTGTTGTAGATTATAGTTGCCTTACAGTTTAGTAGACCATGAGAGTTACTTCCCATTCTCTAACTATACCTGTCACCCTCCAGCTCCCATCATAGCCTCACAGAGGATAAGGCTGTTGTCATCTCACATCATCCATGTTGGGGTCATATTGCTAGCCCCATATCTATGGGACAACATAGCACTCTCTGAACTTTCTTTCTTCTTTCTTTCAGAATATAAAATATTTGAGTCATTCACGCAATTTTCCCCATTAACATTGCTTATTTTAGAATTTTTCATGTTTTGGGAGATACCTGTGGGAGTCTGAGTGAGAAATGTCCCCTACAGGCTCTTGTTTTTGAATACTTGATCCCCAGTTAGTGGTACTGTTTATGGAGGTTGTGGAACATTTAGAAGGTGCAGGACATTAATGGGGGCAGGTTTTGAGGACTCAGGGTTTATAGCCTTGCCTCCCTTCCTGTTTGCTCTTTGATTCCTGTCTGTGGGTGAAATGTGATTAGCCAGTGACTGCTGCCCGGGCATACCATTCCCACAGTCCCTCTGGAACTGCACACTCTTCTTTCTTAAATTTGCATCGTCATGGTATTTCATCTCAGTGACTGAACAGTAAACAATCCAACACCTTTAGCAGCCTTGTTCAAACCCTTTGCACAATCTGAAAATGCGATTGTCCCTCTCCTCTTCTATTTTTCAGAGTGCACTTCGGTATCCTGAGCACATAGGTGAAGCAAAATGTAGACACACTTGGAGAGGAGGAAAGAGAAGCTTCTGGCTCAGCTCATCAGCTTAACCAGCTCACAGGGAATTGCTTTTGATAGGTATAGAATGGGCGGGAGTGAGCGGCGTGGATGGAGGGCACGAGCAGATGGATGAAGGCACCGAGGCACAGATGGAATTCTCAGCGGGACACAGATTTATTTCGCACGGGGCACCTTTCCCTTGGGAAGGGAAAGATGTCAGTGGAGGGAAAGAGGGAAGGGAAGGGAAGGGAAGGGAAGGGAAGGGAAGGGAAGGATGTCCACGAAGGGAAAGATGTCTGCCCACGGATTGTGAGCTGGGACTTTACATATGGGGCTTTAGGGTGTGGAATCAGGGAGGAGGAAGCAGGTAGGATTAGGGTGTGGAAGTGTTTACTTTTTCCCTCTTAAGATGAGAGAAAAACAGCTTCTAAAATCTCTGGTTATCAGGTAGAATCTGCTTATCTTTGGAGGTCAGA